TGTGCCTTGCCTGTCCTCACATATGATGGAGCTGAAACACTTATTTTGATGAAAAAGAACATACATAGAAAACAGGTCGTGCAACGGAAAATAGAAAGGTTGGGAGTTACACTTAGAGATAAAATACCCAATCATACCCTACGAAATCGAACAGGAGTAAGAGATCTGTCTTACATTTTAAATGGAATTGGGCAGGATATGTGGCTAGGATAACAGATGGACGGTGGACTAAAGGACTTGTAAAATGGAGACCAAGACTCGTGGCCTATAGAAGCAGAAGACAACCTCCTAGTCGATGGACAGATGATATTAAGAGAGTGGCTGGAAACTGGACTCAAGTGGCACAAAATACTTGGTACTACTACTAATACTAAATTTGGGGTACTTGTAATTTATTTCGTACTCTATTTTTTTAGGGCGCAAAATCCGAATCTAAAATTTCGTGACGGAGTATTAAAAAAGATGCAAAAAACGTAAATTGTCTTACTAACCGCCTTGTAGAATATAGAATTAACCGCCTTAGGGTGGCTGTAACGACGTCCCGTAATCCTGCTGTTAAGACACAACAGCTGGCTTTTGTATAAAAACCAATTGTTATGTTTTAACAGCAGGATTACGGGGCGTCGTTGCAGCCACATTTAGACATATAGTATTTCTGAAGTCAACTGGAAACACTGGTACTCTCAACTGGTTTGTACAGACAATGCCGCCAATGGCGCCGACAAAGACAGTGATAAAATTACGTTGATTCCTAACTTATTCCAACTGACTTAGGAAAAACTATACCTATAGTATTGTGTGTATTCATTCTCCTCTGTATTCATGTTACTTTTGTCTTCTGGAATCTATACGTTATCACACAATCCTTCATACGATATGCAGATTGGGAAGCAATGAGGAGTAATGTCCTCCTGCATCACATTTGAGTTCGATGATGTTGGGATCGATTCACTATCGATCCCAAACCCCTAATCCTAAGGATTGGATTATTACTTATGCACTTGAAAGTAAACTCTAAGTGAGTGTTTTGCAATATAGTTAGTGAAGCAATGTTGGTGTTATTTTTATACGACGAAGATATGTATTATTTTTATCTTAAGTCTCGTTCAGTTTATTATTGTCTAATTTTTATGTAGTTGCTTACGTATAGAGCCATTAGAAATAACTCCACCTTCGGCAATATCGTTTCAATTATCGTTTTTAAGCTGTTGTGTGGGTTACAATTTTGATTCTCGGTTGGCTGAAAATGCAGCTATTATTTTGAATAAACAAATAAGCGTAACCATACCAAGAAATGTTCTTTGCTATATTGGAAAAAAACTATTTTGTTCCAATATCGGTGATGATGCACAAAACATTTGGCAAACATTTGGCTCTTCGTACACATTGTAATAAATGTCGCCTTTTTGTTCTCAGTGTATTTTATATTATCTGTAGTTTAAATTGTTACTTTATGCTGTAGAAATTCACAAAATAATATGTTTTGTAAATAAAATGCTTTAAGTACTGATTGTTTTAATAAAGTTAATTGAGAACACAATTACATGCTAATTATAAAGCACAGAAAGACGAAATATATTGAATTGTTTAACTCTTCTGCATATTTTAAACACGTGTTTATTTTTAACAATAAATAATCAGGATCTAAAATACAAAAATACAGCAGCCGTGTATATTGATAATATATCATTATAAATATTAATTGACTATGTATGTAATTTACTTCAATTGTGCGATATTTTATTTTAAATACTGTGATTATTTAATAATTAAATATTATTTAATGTATTATTATTTGCTATTTAATTATGTATGCCTATTCTCGATATGTTTTTGAGAATGCTCACGGGTATTTTTTTTATAGTTAGTTAATATCGAATGAATTGTGGTGAGTACCCTAGTTTCTAATAAATGCAATTAATAGAAGGAAGTAAACTACCTAAATAAAATTACAATATTGTTGAATTACAAGGTTATTATAATTGATATAGTAAATAATAACCATATATCAATTAAATAAGAGATGAATTACAGGAATTATAAAAGTAAGATGCATATTTAGTTCTTCTTTTATTTGCTAAACATCCCAGATACATTTTTAGAGTCCCTAGAGACGTTCAGTTCTTTAACACAGGCGGACTGTGCAGGCAAGTTTGCGCAGTTTTAACTAAAGTGTTACTTTTTAAGACTTTGTCTATTATTTTTTAAAAAAGAACTTCTGCTTCCATATTTGCTTCCAAATCCATCTCCTTTGGGTTTTCTGCTATATGAAGTGTTAATATCGTTAATATTTATATTTCTTCTGGTTCTATACCGGGTGTAGTTTGGGGAGTTGAATTGGTTTCAAAAAGGGTAGGGATGATAAAAGTAGAGTAGATTCCGGCATTCCGGGTAGAAACAGTTTAAGCTTTGGTTGAAGCTGGCTGACTGGCGCACTATGGCCACGCGCATACAGTTGTTTTTCTATTTTTCACTGCTAGTTGTACCCTTAGATTTGTATATTTTACATACAAATTTACATAAAAAGGGTATTTAGTTTAAATCCGTTTTTCTTTTGTTTCTATTAATTTTTATATTATTCATTTTTTACATAAAGCCTTTACGTAAGGCAGTTATCTACAAAAACATAAATTGTGTATTTAGTGTTTCCATTTCCTTTGTCACTGATCATTTTATTAGAAAAAATATATTCACGCTTGTAACTAAATTCAATTACAGTTATTAACCGGATAATATTACATATAAATATTGCGTTCTTTATCTGGTATAGGTAATTTTTCTAGTTTATGCTTACAAAATTTTATAGAAAAACCCACTAGTATCTGAAAAAAAAAATAATTAGGTACATCCCGATTTTTTTGCCCGCTTATATATTTACTTCCTGTACAGGGTGAGTCAACGATAGAGTAAAGTCCATTTTCTCACTTGCTTCGTGGTTTACAAAAAAATGTTAAATATAAAAGTTATAGGAAAGAAAATAGAAAATTTTAGGAGAATAGGAAAATTTTAAAATTTTTTGAAATTCATCAATATATATTGTACGCCCTGTGCCATCTAACTAAAATGTCTTTGCATATATTTTTTTCTTTAGATTTATAAATTTTTCCTACCAAATTTTAGTTCCCCAACTTCAGAAACAATGGCATCAATAACAATTTTTTACTACACTGAAATCTAACATTTGTTGAAACAAATTGAAATATTACAAAACCTATTAATTTTAGGTATATAATATTATACACAAAAAAGTTATAGAATTTCACGCAGAATCTAAAAAATAAGATAAAAAATAGGGTGTTGCATTTAAAAAAAAATATGTTTTATCCGCCACACTTTTTGAAGCACCCTGTATACTCTATAATAATTTTGAAATGTGTATCTTATCATTTCCTATAACTTTTATATTTAACATTTTTTTTTGTAAACCTCGAAAAAAAATAGATAATGGACTTTACTCTTTACTTTATCGTTGACTCATCCTGTATATTCTATATATCGCCTGTGTTCTGCAATGTCCATATATGTTTTATTTGTAATTTTATGACGTACATTTTTTTGAATTGATTTGCATTGTATGACATTTTTTTTTTATTATTATTATTTGTATATTTGTTTTTGTGCTTTTTTGTTTTGTGAATGCTTTGTCGATGAAGCTGTTTTGGCTTTTTGTACAATAAAGCGTTGTTTTTTTTTCTATACAGGGTGGTCCGAACTGTATTCCGGAAATTTCGGCAGCATATTCTGCAGATAAAAATAAGTAATAAAGTTCGTATAAATGTATGTCCTAAAATGCTTAGTTTTGGAGATACAGGGTGTAGAAGTTTCATTTTTATTTCGATTTTTTAAAGTAAGGTCCTTTAAGATCCTTTCTAAAGTAAGGTCAATATTTGGATGAAAATTAGTGTCTGGGAGTTTTTTGACATGAGAAATTTGATTTTGATGTTAATATGACTCCTGTTTGTAGAGGGTGCCCCCTACATGTTTTTTTAACTGTTTTGAAGAGTAATAACTTTTCATCCGTACCTGTATAAAACTATACATTCCGAAAAATATACATTTCCGTGATTTTTTACGTAAAAAATGCCACTTGGTAAAAATCGCTACGGGCAACCGTTCTCAAGATATTTAGAATGGAAATAGTCAATGCATGTCATTATTGACAAAAAATAAGCATGTCGAGTAGATAGTTATTATTAGGAAAGTAGATAGTTATAATTTAGGAACTTTTTATTTTTTTTAATTTGATAAAAAAATTTCTTCGAAAATGAGGATAAAACAGTTTCTGTTGAACTTTTGACACAAAATCATTTAAAATTTATGATTTCAGTTTAATAAATATTTAGTAAACATGTAAAATTTATGTCAATGATGACAGGTATTGATATTTTCGATTCCAAATATCTCGAGAACCATTACTCAGCGATTTTTAGCAAGAGACCTTTTTTATGTAAAAAATATCGTAAATGAATATTTTTTACTCGGTAGTTTTATACAGATACGGACGAAAAGTTATTACTATTCAAACCAGTTAAAAAATATGTATGTGGTGCCCTCTACAAGTAGGACTCATATTGACATGAAAATCAAATGTCTCACGTCAAAAAAATACTAAACACTAATTTTCATCCAAATATTGACGTTATTTCAGAAATTATATGGAAAAAATTGAAATAAAAATGAAAGTTCTACACCCTGTATTTCCGAAACTAAGCATTCTAGGACATACATTTATACGAACTTTTTTACTCATTCTTATCTGCAGAATATGCGGCCGAAGTTTCCGGAATACAATTCGGACCACCCTGTATATTAATTATTACATCTTTTTTTGTAATTTGTTTGTGTATTTCAGAGTACTGCAACACCAGTACGACAATTAAACGTAAAAGGAAAAAAATAAAAATTTGCAAGCAAGCAAGTTCGGCAAGTCCGGCCCCAAATTAACTACATCGGGGCATCAGCAGACCACCACAATTTACCGCTCGATCTCTTATATAAACGATCCCGGACCGCTAATCTTCAGTGCTAATACCTTTGGCCGGCATCATGAATACTCTGGTTGCTCTCTGTGTGGTCGTCTCTGCCGCAGTCTCGGCTTACGACTTCCAAGACGCCGAATTCAGTAAGTTTCATCCAATCGTATTGCTTTTCATTCAGTTTCCCTTTGTATCTTGTTTTTTAGAATGTTTTATTTAGCCGAATTTTCAAAGTATAGTATTACAAATATCAATTTAAAATTATATTAAACGTATCGCACTTTTTATATTTAATTTTAATAGTATACAGGGTATTTCAAAAAACATGTACCATTTTTAGTCGAGAGATTCCTCACGTAAAAAAGATGCATTTTTCATATCAACATAGGTCCGGTTATGCTTGTTTCGTAGCTACAGGATGTTAAAGTTTTAATAATCTTTCGATTTATTATAATTTTCTCCCAAGTACTTTTAGTGATTCGAATGAAATTTTGAGGGTAAAAGTTACTATAAGTGGTACATATTCTATTGCTAAAAATGTGTCGATAAATTCATTAAAGGGACCCGCATATAGGTTATCACTAGAATATGAAAAAAAAAACATGTGCACCACTGACTTTTTTCTTGTGATATCAAAATTAAAAGTTTAATGCTAATTAAAAGTTATCTCTTGACATTTTGTCGAGTTCAGACTCCTTGAAGACATAAACGTAATTATATTAATCACAATAATTAATAAAATTAAAATAAAATTAATAAATTATATATTTTACCTAATTTTCTATTAAATATAATTACTATTATTTATTATTACTATTAGTCAAACCTACAGCAGTTTCAAATAAAAATATAATGGAATTTAAGATAATTGCAACAAACCTAATTTTAAAAAGTTTTAACATCCTGTAACTCTAAAACTATGCATTTCCATATCCATGTTTATAGCAAGTTTTTTTCATATTTTTTGATGTGGAGTCAGTGACTACTTATTTAAAACTTTCGCAATTTAATGACATTATTTTTTTTTAAACGTTGCTCTTAGACTTGCATTAAGAAAAATTAATAAAATCGACAAAATATCAAGAGACGACTTTTAATCGGCATGAAAATGCTTACACTATTTCGCTAACAAGAGAAAAATAGTCAGTGGCGTACATGCTTTTTTTAGAAAAATATTCGAGTGGTAACCCGTTTTTAGTTTTTAAATATGTCACATATTTATAGTAAATTTTTACCGTCAAAATTTCATTCGAAACGATAAAACTACTTGGAAGAAAATTATAATAATTCCAAAAAATATTAAGACTTTAACACCCTGTAATTACAAACAAAGCAAAATCGGACCTATGCATGTTGAGAATAGTATGAAAAATAAATCTTATTTTTACGTGAGGAATCTCCCCATGAGAGATAGCACATGCTTTTTGAAACACTATATTGTTTTATTGTATTGTTTTATTAGGCCAAAAAATGATACTTTTTGAAACGAGGCAGTATGTTTGACAATACAGGGCTATTACAAGGCACAAAAAGTATTTTTCACACAACAATTAACATTATTAACATCACAAATAATTTTTTAAACAATTTCGAACTTTTCAAAAATTAATATAAATAGATTTAAAAGTAACACCGTGTAAGTAATTATACAGGAACTATGGTTATACTCGTTGAATTTGACTCATCATCTTCAATCGCATTAGATGATTTGGATTTTATTATAGTATTTAAAGTAGTATAGTCAATTAATTGAAAATTAAATTCATTAGAAAAAATAGTGGAAAACGTGTTATGTTGATAGAATTGTATTTAATCTGGCGAAGTGCTGTGAAACCCAACCCAACCTATGTCTAGTATATATAATAATGTACACCACCAACAAAAATCTTTAAACACATTTTAATTGCCCCGGTGGTAAACTCCTTAAACCGACCTCCATATCAAATATATTTCTTTACAGTGCAGTTTTAAGCAACTCTTGAAAAAGGCCCAATAAGTCGAAACATATGAATATTGAAACACCTAAAAGCGTGTTTTATTAAAATACTAATATTTTAACGATGTTTCACAAAAAACAATCCATAGACTCAGTACTATTTAGACTTACTGATTTGAGAAACAATTTTTTCATTTGAGCGTTTTCCAGAATATTTATTGAACAGCCACGGAATATTTGGTCCTTTGGGATATAAAGTAACTTTTTGAATTGACGTCATCTTTAATATTAAAATTTTATTGCTATGTTTTTGCTATTGCTAAGTTATGGTCCGATGTATTCCTATTTAACAACCTATTTAAGTTATCTACTTATAATGTCCAGTTAACAAAAATGAGATTGTACTGTATACTAAACTCTATACCTTATAAAACCAGTACTATTAATATATAAGTATCAGATTACAATACTACAAATTCTAAATTATGCGGGTGTATTTGAAAAAAAATTGTGTGTGCACTATTTGCGCATATTTGAAGTGAAACTTCTTCTTACTTCCGTCTGCCTGTCTGTCCGTCAAAGAACCCCATTCAGGTACCTCTATCCACGTGCCGAGTTTGGTTGCAATCGACCCATAATTAAGAAAAATCCTGATGATTTCATCCATATAGAAGCATCGGTTCAAAATGTCGTGGGCGTCATCCTGTAGCCCGTCCCCAATAATGCCCACAATTTTCATCAATATCAAATCCTTAGTACCACCTCCCACCCTTATGAAGATGTAAACGAAACGTCCTTTCCAACTTTGCAGAGTGGGACCCTGTTCACCGTCGCTTATACTCGTATAGCCTACCCACCAAATTTGGTCGCGACCTGACGACGTCAATTTTTGACGTTTCTTACGTCAAAAGAAACTGTCACAGTGACACATGTCGTACACGGTTGAGTTGGCCTTGGTCCAATCTATTGGCATACGAAATTTCATTTAAGTCGGACGACTTTTTCATTTGATTCATTGATAATGGGGTTTCGTAGTGCACGAATACATCGTCAAAATATCACGAAAATATCGGGCTTTTTGAGCCCCATCTACATTCCGAGTTTTAGCCCCCTCACTCACATAGGGCCCGAGTTACGACAATTGTTATCACTTTTCCTGTCACGTGACGTTCAATTTTTAATCCCATCGCGAGTGAAGAAGTTTTACTTCAAAAATAATAACTGCGGCATTATTTTTGAATCATAATACAAACCTTTTAACTTTAGTCCTTAAGACAGTTATATGGCAGCATCCAAGTTTATTTGGTCCAAGTTTACTTGGACCGTGTCAACCCGGCCTTTAGATGCGCTTAAATATCAATTTAAACTAAAAAGTATATGCTAAAAGCTCTCCTCTTTTTTTTCGAGATGTAAATATTTAGCCTCATTATTTTTTATATTAATATATTACTGTCGATATGTAGATACTTTAATTTACTTGTAGGTTACTTTTATACAATATCTTTACCGGATGCATCTAAGTGGCTCATCCCTATAACTTTTTAAAACTTTTTAATTTTTTTCAGTTAAAAAAACGAGGTTTGGTATGTATATGACATAAATTAAGATTGATTGACGTATTCAATTTTTTTTGGTCACTTCCTGTTTCACCGGAAATAACTACAACTTTTTATTTTTAAATAGCATCCTAGGTATTTTTTTACTTTATTCGATAGAAAATAACACTCTGAATAGAATGACATATCATATGTCAATTTTTGATATTTGCGCATATGGATTATTTGAAATTATAACTTGCGGTTCGTTATCAAAATTTGACTCGAAATACCAAGTGTGTGGTATTAAATTATTTGTAAAAAATGCTTTTTCCAAATATTCTAATGAGCCACCCTGTCCCATTTGAAAAAATTGAGATAGGATTAAAAATACGATTTGGGCATTTTTTAACCGGCCACGACAAGACACTAAATACATTAGACTATGAAATATATTTTTCCAAGGCTCCTTGATTAAGAATTAGTGTTTTTAACATAGCCATTGCAATCTAGATTGAAATAATACTATTTTTTATTAAGCGAGAATGTCAAAAGTTGACATATGATATGTCATTCTATTTAGAATATCATTTTCTATCGAATAAAGTAAAAAAAAAACAGACAGTGACCAAAACAATTCAATACGTCAATCAATCCCAATTTATGTCATATACTAAGATACCAAATCTCGTTTCTTTATCTGAAAAAATAAAAAGGGTGGCCAATGGTGGGTGAGCCACTTTTGAGACGCACCCTGTATATTTACGGGTAGACCAGTTATTCGTCTTAAACTACATTTGGAATGAAATTTTAGTACCTACTTAACCGTGTTTGCCATTATACTAGGTTAAACTAATCAAGAGAGCGGTTGTTATCCAGCTGAAGTAAGTTTTTTCTTGTAGCATTAAGAGTGTAACGACCTCATACCAATATTTACGTAACGCTTTGACCTGACAAGATCACGGTCACTCTTCAGATTGCGCTAAACGTAAATACCTTGAAGCGTAACGCAAAAATAAGCTATATGGCGAGGATGTTTGTGCTGAATGGTTTCTTTTGTAATGGGTAATTGGACGATATTGTAGTAATGACCTAGATTTACACCAGGACAGATTCGTATTATGAATATCAACGTTTGAAATAAAAACACCTACATATAAACAAACCTCGAAAATATTTGTTTAGTGTGTGTTTTCCCAGATGAATAAAAATATACAGAGTGAGCCAATTCACCCATGTAGCTACATATTAGGATTTCTATTTGAAACATTTTTGTCGATATGTTTTTTTTTTCTGTAGAATTATTAAATATATCGAAATGGGACTGGTTAAGGTAATTTTGTATCATCAAATGTGGCGTTACCAAGACTATTTTTTCGTATCTTTTTATCTTATGTCCTAAAATGCTTCATTTCGGAGATACAGGTTGTAGAAGTTTCATTTATATTTCATTTTTTTTTCAAATAATTTCTGAAATAACGTCGATATTTGGATGAAAATTGGTATCTAGGTGTTTACATGAAAAATTTGATTTTGATGGCGCATCTGTGGCGCTCTCTATATGGCGTGCTCTATGTGGCGCTCTCTAGGTGGCGCTCTCTTCCTATGTCAAAGAACACTTAGACTCCAATTTTCATCTAAATATCGGGGTTAGATCAGAAATTATTTGAAATAAATCGAAAATTTCTTAGAGTATATTAGATTGAGATTGGAGGATTTCCATTTCCAGGAGACTTCCAGATTTTTGAGTTCTGCTTTGGGTTGGTTTTCATTTCCAGTTCATCATTTCCAGTTTTCGGTTTCCAATTCTAGAGTTCCCAGCAGAACGGTTTTTTTCCAGTTAGTGGAGTCTCTGCTCCTTTTCTTGTTAGATCGTATGCTGATTTTTATTACTGTCTATCACTTGGTGAGCTGACAACCAGAGTAGGTATTGTACCCATCTTTCAATAGCGTCGCTTTCTGCTTGCAGGGTTCTGGAGTAGGTGCCCATTGGCTCGGAGTATTTAGTTTTTGGCTCAAATATTCCTATGCTTGTTCCTACTTTGGTTTTGCAAGTATACCACCGTATGGTATACTGATACGAGTCTTTTAATAGCTGAGCAAAGTTTTATCTCTTCCAATTCTTTTTAAATTTGTATGTAGTTTCAAAACTCGTACAAGAATTCTTCCAAATGAGCAAAAAATGGTATTGTTGCAAAAAATACGTCTCATGACGTCAAATTCCCAAGAATATAAATCCTAACTATATCCAAAAAAAATTAATTGGTCAGCTTTGACCCATTGTCATTTTTGCCCTGATATACGAGTATTACTTAAAAATGTAAAGAAAACTAAATATGATACATATTAGACTATAAATCTATATGATGTTTATATTATCAAATGTTACAGATCAACTCTTAGCATCAGATTTAGAAGATGGATTTGACTCTCTATATTCACTTCCTGTGAACAGTCGCGTTAGACGAGCAGAAGAGGCAGTAACACAGTCACCGGTAATAATTATTATTTATTAAATTATTTAAACATATTGAATACCGATTAATTTTTTGATATATCAAAAAATTCTATAGAACGAAGATGATAAATGCAAAAAAAGACATAGAAGACCGAAAGCATGTTGTGCCGACGAACTGCTCGACCAGATCCATGAAAAAGACAAAGAATTAGTAAGAAGTTGCTTTAGGGAAGTTTTGGGAGTTGATAAACACGAACATCATCGCAGAGGTGATCCATTCAGCTGCGAACAAGCTGAGAAAAGACGAAATGACATGACTGTAAGGGAAATAATTAAATTTTATTCTTAATGTAAATTTATTTTTTGTTTTAGTGTGTATTCCAATGTGTTGGACAAAAGAAAGGCGTGGTAAGTATACACGATAATTAATTAACTATGACGGATTATACAGAAGTTGTTTACTCAATATCAGATAATATATTAATCTTTAGTAAACTATATTAATATTTTCCTAGAGGCTCGACTCCTCGAGTGAAAACAGTTTTACGAGTATATCATTTCATCTATACAGGATGGCGCACCTAATTCACCTCGTCAATGTCCCCGTTAATTCGCCTCGTTAATGTCAACATTAATACGTTAATGTTAGGGTTATGTTTTTGGTTGTTTTGTTGTGGGTTATTCTCGAGATTAACCGGGTAAATAAGAGTATTAAAAATTAAATATTTATTTGACATAACATCTTTGTTATTTCAAGTACAACACCCTGTATTTCTTAAAATAAATCGAAGCAGATTCAAATGTTCTTTCATATTCAATATTAGGGTTTCCTATACCACTTTATTTTTCAATAAAATAGCAACCAAGAGGGCTGGTGTCGTTATGGCAACTTTCTAGTGACAGTTGGTAGTTATTTTCAAAATCGAAATTAGTTTATGGACTTTATTTAAATTTATAGCAGTTTACTTTTATTTACCTACAATAGTTTAATAAATAATATTTATTAAATATGTATTTATTATTCTATCGAGAAAAACGAAGGAGTACCTAGTTCTTTGATTTATTTAACGATAACTTGAATATACAGGGTGGTCCGAATTGTATTCCGGAAACTTCGGCAGCATATTCTGTAGATAAAAATAAGTAAAAAAGTTCCTATAAATGTATGTCCTAAAAGATTTAGTTTCGGAGATACAGGGTGTAGAAGTTTCAATTTTATTTCGATTTTTTCCAAATAATTTCTGGGGTAACATCAGTATTTGGATGAAAATTGGTGCCTGGAAGTTTTTTGACATGAGAAATTTGATTTTGATGTCAATAGGACTCCTACTTGTAGAGGGCGCGACCTACATATTTTTTAACTGGTTTGAAGAGTAATAACTTTTAGTCCGTTGTTAAATCATTGTAATCCGACTGTTAAACCATCAATTTTTCGCCAAAAATTTTATGATTAATTTAAAAAATTAAAAATTAATTATTTCAGTCAAATAACTATACTCAATGTGTGCTTATTTTTTTTTCAATTTTTCAATTTTAAATATCTTGAGAACGGTTGCCCGTAGCGATTTTTACCAAGAGACATTTTTTACGTGGAAAGTCATGGAAATGTATATTTTTTCAGTCAGTAGTTTTATACAGGTACGGACGAAAAGTTATTACTCTTCAAAACAGTTAAAACACATGTAGGTGGCGCCCTCTACAAATAGGAGCCATTTTGATATCAAAATTAAATTTCTAATGTAAAAAAACTCTAAGACAAAAATTTTCATCCAAAAATTTACGTTACTTCAGAAATGATTTGGAAAAAATCGAAATAAAAATGAAACTTCTACACCCTGTATCTCCGAAACTAAGCATTTTAGGACATACATTTATACGAACTTTTTTACTTATTTTTATCTGCAGAATATGCTGCCGAAATTTCCGGAATACAGTTCGGACCACCCTCTATATGGATTTCCTATAAAAGAGCCACTTTTATTGACAGGTTTCTGTCTAATAGGTTTTTTGTAAACCACCCTACCAGCTCTGCGAAATAGGACAAGTGGTTTTTCAAAGAAACGCTTGTCAGGAAGATTTTTTCTTTGGATATCTTTTGGATCCTCTTTGGATATTTTTGAGCATAAGCCCTTGAGGTCAAGAAGCAATTATCCTCAAAAAATAAAATCCCTAGTAACCTATCCATTCGTTCCCCCAGCAGGGCGCATGAGGTGCGCTACCCTGTATTTATATTAAGAGACCTAACATTCAAACACCTGTTATATACAAAATTTTACTGATCTGGGAATTCACGGAGAAAAAAGTAGAGGTTTTTTACTAGAATATTAAATTAATTGGCATTACTAACAGAAATGCTTCTAGTTTTAGAGGTCATATAAATAAACTAATGAGGCAACAACAACAGAGAGAGAGAAAATAATTATAGATGCTAACAAGAACTCATTGTTAAAAATCAATATTTTGTTAGTTAATTGTCTTTATATACAATTTTTAAATACTAGTGCTACAAACCTGTAATGTGTTTATATTATATACGTTAATATTAATTAACTAATTGATACATTTATAAGTCAATATTTATGACATGACTATTTAGAGAAAACGATTGTGGTTTCTAGAAATAGGTAATAAATCTAAGTATAGGTACTTTTTTTAAATTTATTCCACTATTTAAAAACAAATATAAAAATGTACCTATGTCTCGTAATTATGTACTAACGAAGGACCATTTTTTGGCAAGGGAAATGGACTGGAGTGGCGCTAGTTTAATTTAATTTATTGCTATTTAATTGAAATTACCATCCATTAATTTTGGGAGAGCGTCTATACCCGAGGTTCCCAATTTTTTTTTCTAGTAGACCATTTTGAAAATTCTACTGGTTTCAGTGTGCACTTGCTACATTTCTAACAAATTTCCAAAACTCGTCAAAAAATGTGAAGGTGAGATTCGTCCTACGTGTTCCAGTACCACAAATAATACTTGTGTAATTACTGGTGGTAGGGTTTCTTATCCTTATAATAAATTTGAAATGGCAATAATTATGTATAGGCCTAACCATTTGAATTTTGTAGATTTTGCAGATATTTTTACTATAATACCGGATATTTTTCAAAAGTGGCCCATCCCCATTAGTTTTTTTATATTTTGAGGCAAAAACGAGATTTGATTCCAGTTTCACTTCTAGTTTCACCGGAAAACAAATTTAAAATTTACAACCTTCATTTTGGTACCCTCAGTATTTTTTTCCTTTATTTGTTAGAAAATATATCTGACATTCTGAATAGAATGACGTCGCATATGTGAACTTATGATATTTTTGCTTAAAAATGCTATTTCAAATTTCAATTTTGAGTGCTATGGCTGTGTTCATAACGACAATTTCACTAGAAATACCAAGTATGTGGTATCAAATTATTCGTAAAAAATGCTTTTCCAAATATGAAAAAAAAATGGAGTTATGATTAAAAATACGATTTGGGCATCTTTTAACCAACCAGGAAAAAACACAACAAACATTAGAAGATCAAATCTATTTTTCCAAGGCTCATTGATTAAAAAGTAGTGGTTTTAACGGTAAATTAAAATTTGAAATAGAATTCTTTTAAGCAAAAATGTCAAAAGTTCACATATGGGATGTCATTCTATTCAGGTTGTATATTTTCACTATTAATTTTAAAATAATACTGTAAAATCGAGAAAAAAACGGTTCCAGAAGGCTTGGAAATGCGATCGATAACATTCCCCACATAATTTTACATATAAAGTGAAAGCGGTCTTCATTTCATAGCCTTCGCTGACGCTGTTTTTTTTTCTCGATCATATTGCATTGCTGAATTGAATATGCCGATTTATGTCATATTATAACATACCAAATCTCACTTTTTATCTGAAAAAATAAAAAAGTTATAGGGAGAGACACTTCTGGAAAATACTCGCCATAGTGGTTTATATTTCTGGGTTATAATTTACTTACCAACTTTTAATATTTAGGTTGGAGAAGATGGAAAACCTAAACCAGAAGAAATCACCAAAACTCTAAAAGAAAATTTCGCTAAAGAATCTTGGTTTGAGCCATCAATTGAAAAGGTCGTTAGTACTTGTTTAAAAGAAGCTGAAAATGCTACAGCGACTCAAGTAAAACCTGCCTCAGAAGATGTGAAAATTTGTAATCCCTCCGGAATAACTCTAAAACACTGCATATTCAGAGAAGTTCAGTTGAGCTGCCCAGCCGATCAGATCAAAGACCAGAAAGCTTGCGAACGTTTTCAGGAAAGAATCAAAAAAGGAATACATTTTTTTGAGCCAGCACCGCCACCGTTTGATGGACCCAGAGACGAATAAATTATTTCTATCATATTTTAGCTGTAAGGTTTTTGAAACTTAAATAAAACATATTTTTTTCTAAAAAGTCTCCGTTATATTATTTGTTTAATTTTGGTTTATTTAAATTCCCATTTCATTTTTGAAAAGGATCTAAGATACAAATAAAATGTGAAGTAAACATTATAATAAAATATAACATACATACTTACATACTGCCATTATCAGAAGATGGTCACGGAAAGCGTTTTCATTCATGAGCTTTTCTGTGACTGAAAAGACCGATACGTGATGTTATCTGTCTACCGCACTCCGGACATTCAAAAATCTCATTGCTTTGTTGCCTCTTTACTTTTTGGTTGTCGCTGTTAACTGAGTTTACAATTCTTCTCCATTCCGTTCTATTGTGAGCTGCTTCTTCCCACTCATTCTGCTTGTTAATCTCCTTTAAGTTTTCGTGGAAAATATCCTTGTACCTTTTGAGTTGTCCAACCGGCCTCCTCTTACCGTCTACAAGCTCATCGTACAGCAGAGATTTTGGTATGCGGTTTACTTGCATTCTGCATACATGACCAGCCCATCTTAAGCGGGACTTTGTAATCATGACTTCAATACTCTCGCAGTTAGCTTTTTCAAGGACCGATACGTTTGAGACATGATGGAACCATTTGATTCTTAAGAGTTGTCTAAGATGTCTCTTTTGCAACTTGTTTGCTGCGTTCATGTGTCGGCGGTACGGCACCCAGATGTCGCTTCCATGTAACATGGTAAGAATTATTATTGCTCGATACACTGCATATTTCAGAGTCGATATTGTCCTTTTCCGAAATCAAACTACCGAGGTAATTGAATTCCGCTACATCTTCCAATAGTTCTTCTCCGATTTTTATAGCATTGTTGTATCTTCAGGGGGAGTGCACATGATTTTAGTTTTATCGATGTTCAGCTTAAGTCCCAAAGCCTCGTATGCCCAGGTATATAACATTTCTTGTAATTGCCGTAACATGAGTAATACCATCACACTTTGTATTTCGAGTCAAAATGTCTTATGAACGGCATGTTAGAATTTTAAATAAAACATATGCAAAGATCAAAAGTTGACATGTGATACGTCATTTCTATTCAGAGTGTCATTTTTTCTCGAACAAAGTAAAAAAATATCGAGGGTGGTCATTTCAAAATCCAAAGTTGTAGTTATTTCCGGTGAAACAGGAAGTGACCGAAAACAATTGAATACGTCAATCAATCCTAATTTATGTCATATACTAACATACCAAATCCCTTTTTTTATCTGAAAAAAAAACAAAAAAGTTACAGGGGTGGGCCACTTTTGAGACCCAGTATACCTGGAAGCAAAAAGTAGTTTTTGATATCTAGAGTTGTAAACATGGTAAAAAGAAAAGAAGATCGATAGCGGCCCCAATTTCTTTCGCTTTGCGCATATCACCTGTGACGTCATATGTCATACAAAAAATATCCATATTGTTCAATTGCCACTGATAAAAAAAGACCTAAAATAGGGAAGAATAGGTCATAACCCCAAAAGTTATGTCAAATCATCGAGCTTAACCAGGGTTCGGAAGTAGTTAACTAAGACGTAATTTACCTGATTAACTACGTGTAGTTTTCCTTCAATAACTACGACTTTTCCCGTTCATTAACTACATGAAAACTACGTTAATAAGCTATGTATTGATATTATGAATCATTTTCCTTTGTATGAGGTGTAATAGAGATAATATGATGTAAATATTATATTTAAAGCCATATTTCATGGTTGTAAATATAAATTATGTGTATGAAAACTTCTTTTTTTATTTCTAAAAATTGTTTCTCTTTTTATATATCTTAAACTTTTATATTTAAATTAATAAAGTATTTTTTTCTCTGATTTCGAGGCGACTAACATATTAGTACTGGTAACAACTAAATTGAGATTTATAGCATAATTAAAAAAGGAGGTTTTGCAAAAAAGATCTATACTTTCAAATTTATTTTAGTTTTTTAGTTTAAGCTCGATTTCCATTTTTCATCAACTTTTCCAATAATGCCGCCAGTGGAAACGGGAAGTCTTAAAATTCACATTAAAATATAAATTGCTAGCAACAAAAACATCTTCGTTGCCTTCACAATTTCTAATACCCCCAAAGGCCTGTTTTGCAATATATCAAAAGCGGCGGCGAATATATGCATGAAAAGTTTAAAAGAAGGCTCTTATTATCAATAAAACTGCTGGATATTTTGAAAGAGCCACTTAAAATTATTTATAGGCGCTCGGAATAGCTTTGTGCTGGATCCGAAACTCCTAGAAAGTTTATTCTTTAACTCCGGTCCCTTTCAATAATGTTTCTTCAATGGCTAAGTTTTTTTGTTGTTAAAATTTGGCTTTACGTTAGTGGTGCGATACTTTAGAGTTTTTTTTTATAAAAAAGGAGGGAAAACTATCATAGATAAATCACTACGATATACAACAAAAAACCTAAAATTATGATTTCTGATTGTTGTTACAAAAATAAGTTTGCATTATGTATTTGCGCAACAAACATGAATTGAAAATGGAGATGATTTTTGAGGTAAAAAAAATCGGTAGTGTGATATACTCAAAGATATTTAAACTGGGACTTTAAATATCTTTGAGTATAAGATATTATTATATAATCTATATCTATATATATATATATATATATATATATATATATATATATATATATATATATATATATATATATATATATATATATATATATATATATATATATATATATATATATATATATATATATATATATATATATATATATATATATATATATATATATATATATATATATATATATATAGAGAGAGAAGAAAGTATTTATTGGGCAAGTCTACAGTAAGATTAGCCATGAAACATGAATAAAATATGACTACCCGTAGACACTCAGTGTTTCTGCACTTCAGGCTTCATCAATACGGGAAAAATCAGCATCGATCCTTAAAAAAGAAAAAGGGAAGCAAACGAGGCACAAGGCACCATTTGCAGCCTGGTTAGGCAGTAGCTCACAATTCGCAAGCTTTACCACCGATGATGGTAGAAACATGGCCGGAAAAATGGATGACCGGAAGGCAGAAACACTGAGTGTCTACGGGTAGTCATATTTTAGTCATGTTTCATGGCGAATCTTACTGTAGACTTGCTCAATAAATACGTTCTTCTTTTTTTAATATAGTCTCCACGATAACATCTTTTGTCTATATATATAGATATAGATTAAAAACTGGATCTTTGGATATACTAAATAATAAACTTATAACTTCGTATGATCTGTAGTATCATGCTTATGTCAATTTAACTGATATTTCGAGAGTTTTGGTTATACAGAAGCGATGTATCAGAAACATTTTCAAGCGTCAATATAGAGAAAGTTATAAGAAAATATTTATTAAGAACAACTTTTTGACTGTTGTATGCGTTTACATACTGATCATGATCATACATTCATGATCAGCTAGACCATGATTACAAGCTAATAGTAGGTAATGGGGAGGTGTAACTTTAGTGGAAGTTTAACTTAGATCAAGGTGTCTGTACTCTGTACTAACAAAAATAATTTTAGTTCAAGGCTTATGTTAAACGAGTATTTATACCAACAGAAATGCTTTCTGCCCAAGCGTAAAACATTCAAATCAATTGAAAGCTTAAAAGCAAAAATAAGAAATACTCGTATCCTTTCACATACTTTTACGCAAGAACATCAAAAAATATTTTTGTTATATAACTTAACAAATACAGAACAATAAAAAATTAAAAACATATAATAAACAATAATAAACAAAAGATGGTAGGTATTTGCCTCGGTATTTGCTAATATTAATAAAAAAAATCTTAAATAGAATAATATTACAAATAATATACAGGATGTTGTATTTAAAAAATACGAATTAATATTTTTTCGACTGATTTGCTCTGTTCATTTTTCTCTGGCGATAAAAGACCATAGCGGTTTAGGTTTAGGCAAAGCCCTACAACTTCTATTTTAATTTTTTTTCTATATCTAAAAATAGAAGCTATTTTTCAAATAAAAATACTAATTTGAGCGTGAAGAAGAACCTATTCTGAGAAAAAAACCTTCATATTAATATATGTCCTAAGCATTTTAACTTTTCAGAAACAGGGTGTTAAAATTTTCTATTTTTTTTTTCAAAATATCGCTAATGTTATATTTCATATACGTCTTTCATGCATCAAAATGCATATTGTTATTAACAAAAAAATATTTTATTTCTTAATTGCCTTCCAGCCTGATGCAGAAATGATTTCCACACACCAGTCACCGCATCAGATTTTAAGCGATTCGACCCTAAAATGAACTGATTTTAATTTTTTTTAAGCAAAAACTATGCGTCGCGTCTGACGAAAAAAATCAAAAGATAAAAAATATTTAGAAATGAATGGAGATTTTGAAGATAATTTTTATTTTAAGAGAAGTCGGCGATGTACCACTTTTTTCTCCAAAATATTTAATGTAAATGTATGAGCACCGGTTGAAATAAATAATATTCTTTGTATACCAAAGAAAGGTATTTTGATGCATAGAAGACGTGTATTAAGTTTCATAAAGATATCTGTAATAAAATCAGAGTTATTGTAAAAAAAAAATTACCACCCTGTATCTCATACATTAAGATGGTTAGGACATACATTCATGAAGTTCTTTTCTTAAAATAGTACAAAGAATAATCCCCTTAAATATTAGCATGTCATTAAGGAACACCCTTATAATACAAAAAATAACATAGAAAATATAAATAATTTTATTAATGTTTTGGTTCTATAAAATACAGGCACCAATTTTCCAATACCGACCTATATAATTTCCATTGGCATTTTTCCAACTAAATCATAGCAACGACTCCTAATGAAAGTACTGTCTATGGACGCTCCAACCGCTCACTTCATCAACTTTCTAGTTAATGCCCAATGAATATTCTTTTGTTCGTAAGTTGTCGATTAGTGGAAATCAATTGGAGGGAGAGCCAGATATACATCATCTGGATGGAATACAGTGGCGTAGACTACGTAAATTGTGAGCTACAAACATAAAA